TGTCTATTCCTAGCATCTATTCTGCATTGCAAAGTTTTTTGGAGTAGACAACAGAAAACTATTTAGCTCATTCTTTGTTAGTTATGGCAACTATCTATACTGTTAAATAATTTATTTAGATTATTTTTTACTTGTTTAGGGAATTGTAATCATTTAAACTTCTTTCCTAAAAAAATTCTTATTGTGTGAATTTTGCTCAGAAACAGGTTAAATTCTACATTTCTATCCCTCAAAACATGGATGAAACCTAGCTTTAACAAAGCAAAACTAAGCAAAACTTGCAATCTTCACAAGTGATACAAAAATATGGGGCAATTTGGAATTCTTGCCATCCATGTTTGCAGTACACATTATCTATTGTAAAGATGCCAATGCTTGTATTCTGGGGTCAAATGGCAGTGATAGGAATATTTTAATCAGACTCTCCCAGGACTTCATCTTTGTTATGGACCTACCATTTGTAACTTCCTTTTTCCAATACTGGTTTTTCTAGCCCTCCTATCTCACTTGTAAGCTACTCAGTATCTTTTTTATTAGTTAAGGAACAAGTTCAGAGCACCACAATTAAGTGGCTAGAGTAAGGTAAAAATTAATTTCTCCCTCATGAAATATTCTAGAGATGAAGGAGCCAGTGCTACCTGGTTATATAGTTATTGGTATTTGCCAGCCTGTAGAAAAGAGCTCAGTGATTTAATATTTATATACAGCATTTCCATCATGTCCTACTGACTTAAACTTAGTATCATAGCTAGGCTAGCTGCAAGGTAGACAGATTTGGTATGTAGCATAAGGTAAGTGCTATGCTAAAGCTCAATGAATTCTATTTCCAAAGGAAAGAAAGAATGAACATTGAGTGATAATGGTCTCTGCCATACTTTCTACTCACTTACTTTTCTGCTCAAGCAAGCCAGAACTACTCCTGATGCTTGCAATCAAACACCACAGTGATTCAGAAAGTTACACGGAAGAGCCAAACCTGGAGCCACTAGGGAGTTGGTGGGTGAACATCGTACCTTGGAGCTCACTTTGAAAATTATTGCTCTACTGTATTCTTTACACATGAATATAAATTCAATTTATATTTTGTTTTTGATGTCGTTTTTAAACTCCTTATTCATTTCCTTATTTAAGAGATCACTGCTTCTCAAAGTTGCCCTTTTCTTTCCAGTAACTTACTCAAATAAATACATTTTATAAAATGAAAAATACCAGAGGCAAACAAGAGGTTCTTCAGTAGATGAATACATGAATTGTGACACATTTATACAATGCAGTGTTATCCAGTTCTAAGAGGAAATTACTTATCAAGCTATAAAATGACATGGAGTATTTATTGTACTCCAATAAGTACTTAAGTACTTATTGCTGAATGAAAGAAGCTAGTTACAAAAAGCTACAGACTGTATCATTCCAACTACTGTCATGCACCACATAATGATTTTTCTGTCAACAGGCCATATATACAATTGCAGTTCCATAAGACACTATCACTTAGTGACATTGTAGCAGTTTAAATCTATAAAAGTACACACTATGATGCTCATACAACAAAAATGGCTACCAATGCATTACTCAGAATGGTATCACCATAGTTAATCAGTACATGACTATATATGACATCTGGGAAAAGGCAAAACTATGGAGACAGTAAAAAGGTCAGTGGTAGCTGGAGATTCAAGAAGGAAAAGATAAAATCACAGAGCAAAAGAGATCTTTAGCTTAGAGAAACTGTTCTGTATGATACTATAATGATGGATAAATGTCATCATATATTTGTCCAAACTCACTGAATGTAAGGCATCAAGTGAGCTCTCATGTAAACTACAACTTAGGATAAGAGTGATGTACTTATACTAGTTCATCAGCTGTGACAAATGCACCACTCTGGTAGGAGATGTTGATGAGGGAGGCTCTGCATATATAGGGACAAAGTTAATGCACCTTCTGCTCAATTTTGCTTTGAACTTAAAACGGCTCTCAAAACTAAGGTCTACTTTTTTTTTTTTTTTTTTTTAACATAAGGGTTTTTTTT